AGTCCTTTTCCTGAAGCAGCAAAGACACATGGACAGCATTGCTTCTAAAGGACTCGGCCCGGGATTTTTTGTTTATTAATGTGAACCCTTTCATAAATCTGGCCCAGAGTCCTGGGGAGGGCCATTGTAAGGGGTAGCTCAGGAGGCAATGAAAATTTGCCTCCTTGAATAAGCAAGCACATAAGGAATCCACTCTTCTGGACTGCTTAAGATTTCTGGAAAAGCAAAGGTTTGGAATCGAACTGCAAGGGACAGTCCTTTTCATGAAGCAGCAAAGACACATAGACAGCATTGCTTCTACAGGATTCGGCCCGTTTTTTACTAATGTGAAGCCTTTCATAAATCTGGCTCCTGACTCTGCAGGCTGCAGAAGTGAAGACAAAAAGGCAGAAGACTTTGGGTAGCTTTTGGGATGTGAAGGCCCAGCCTCCTGTGCCGCTGTTGCAGAGAGCACTGGAGACCAGCAGCAAGGCTGCAAACAGAAGAGTGTCTCAGAAGCTGCAGGAGTGCAGGCAGAAAGGTGAAACCTTGGTGGTGTTGACTGAAGAAGAACTTGCGCTTGCTGTAGAAGAGAAGGCGAAGCTGCGAGGAACTCCAGGTAGGCCTGCCACTTTGCCAGCGCTGCAGCAGCAGCAGCAGCAGCAAGGCAGTCTCGTTGTAGGTTTGCAGAAAAAGCGGCCTGGTGCTGCGGGAGCTCGGGTGGAGGAAACTGCTGCGACCAAAGCAGCCATGGCCAAGGAGCTGGCCGACATGGCTGCAGCCTGTGCTTCCCCGCAAGAACTGCAGCGAGAAGCAGTGAAGGCCTTCAAAAAGCCTTGGGCAAGTTTGAAGAAAGTTCTGGCTGGACGTTCAGTTTGGGAGACACGAGTGAAGGAACTGCAGCTAGGCCAACAACTGAGCACAAGAAAGAGAGGAGTGAATCAGTTTTCGAAGAGAGGCAACATGAAGCGCAGCCCCTGTACCTCCTGCCCACTCTGACAAGGCAGCCCCAGCCCTTGGCTCCCCATGCAAGCCTATGTCAGACTGTGCTTTTGCTGCAGGCTGCCGTGCCACTAGCAAATCCTGAAGCTTCTGCAGAAAGCAAGCAGGCCTTTGCAGACCTTGGATTGTGCAGTTCTAGGTGCAGTTCAGGTGCATTTGTGATTGTTCTGAGAGCCTGGAAGCCCTGGTAGCCTGTAGAGTTCCGAATGCAGTTCTGAGTGCAGTTCGCATGCAGTTTAGGGGTGCAGATTAGCTGCCTTTTCGACTGCAGTGAAAGCTTGGCTGCAGGTGCCTGAAGCAGATCGTGGAACTGCTGCAGAAAGCCAGCAGGCCTTTGCAGACCTTGGATTGTGCAGTTCTGGGTGCAG